CCCACAGCCAGCCTTCCACAAAGCAAGATTCATCTCTTTGGCAGTTTGGGAACTGAGGAGGGTTGGTTTTCTCATTATCAGTTGAGACCAGGGCTCAGGTGCTTAGCCAGATGAGACTCACTGCCCATCCGGAGAGGCCCCCTGGTTCTCGGTGCCTGCTTGTGGCAGGGGGGAGCCCTTCTATTGTGGCAAAGGCAAAATGCTCCTCCCCAAAGGTGGAAAGGACTACTCTATAGGACTTATGACCTCTGTAGTTTGTACAGTAGCAAATGCACATCCACTTAGACACAGATCACCGAGAAATGTAACTGAAAGTTAACCAAAGTGTTGCCTACCTTGGAAGGCAAGTGAAGCACCACAGAAAGAATTCACTCATAGAAAACATCTTAATTATGGAATAAAACTGCTTCCTTCATGTCTTCAGACAACAAGACAGTGAAACAACCAGACAGTTCCATTGCTTCTCTGATGCTTCCTCAGACAAATATCTTGAGCTCACTGTCTCCCCACAAGCCACCACAGGCATAACTGCCACCTTTTCTTGAGCAGTTGATTAGAGAATGTAGTCCTGAGTGGTACACAAAATCCTAGTGTGTCCTGTGGAGAAGTACACTGTAATCTCACCTGGCCACCCAAAGCCACTCCTGGGTGCTTATAGGACAAATGAACTCGAGTTAGGTTAAACCCAAGAGAACCTCAAAGGAAAGAGTAGTGTGTGGCCCAAAGGGCAGCCCCATTTTCTTCACTCTGAGGATGGCTGGAAGTTTGTGGTGTGACACTGGGAGAGTTGCTGCTGGCATCTGCTAACTTCCTAAGTGCCCCTGTCCCTCTGCTCCCTGGGTGCCCACAGGGGATTTGATTTTCCTCAGAACTTGTAGCCACTTCCGTCATGTCCCTTTTGGAAAGGAAGTAACAGCAGTGCTGCCCAGTCCACCTTCTATCCTTTTTTGCCATTTTTTCCAAACAGCATTAATGAGATATAATTCTCATATCATATAGTTCATCCATTTAAGGTATATAATTCGACGTTTTTCATATAGTCACAGGCATTTGCTAGGCAGATGTACAACCATCATCACAGTCTCATTTGAGAACTTTTTAATTCATCCTAACACAAAAACAAACCCATAAACACACAAGCAGTCAATTCCCACTCCCCACTCCCCCCACTTCCAGCCCCTGGCAACCATTAGTCTACTTTCCATCTATGTGGATCTGCCTATTCTGGACATTTCGTATAAGTGAGATCACACAGTCTGTGGTCTTTGGTGACTGGCTTCTTTTGCTCTGCATGTCCTCAGGTTCATCCATGTCGTAGCTGATATCTCCAGATCTTCCAGTGTAAGGGGAGACCGTATTCTGGTTGTCCGTTCCTCAGTTGATGAACATTCAGGCTATTCTTACTCTTGGCTATTAGAAATATTGCTGCTATAAACATGTCTGTACTGTTTTTGCTATTTTTTTGAGATGTGAATTCAGTCCAGTACCACGAACAGCCCTGTCATGGCTAAGCTCATGTCATGGTAACTGAGATCCTAGTGTTTGTGTTCTGTGAGTGAGATAGAAGGATGGTCTAAAGACCTCTGTCTCCATGAGGGCCTGACCAGAAAAATTGAAACCAAGATACTAATCTTAAATGTATAGCTTGATTCAATTTCACCATAGAGCCATATAAATACATTATAGTTGCGGAAGGGAAAGAGAAGAATGCCAGAAAACTTCATGAGCCTTCCACCTGCTTGCTTAGTCCCCCACACAGGTGCATATGCACGTGCAGGCCCACAGTACATGTACTCTCTCTGCCTGACTGCCTTTCGGTCCAGCTGTCCCAGCTTTCTGATTCAGAACCAAAGCTGACGGGCAAACCAACGACCAGAAAGAGGAAGCCCAGAGCCAGGGCCAGGGCCAGGACACAGCCACTGCTGCTGAGTTGGAAATACTGGAATCCATCCTTGGGCCATTTGGAAATGTTAATTAAGCTGGCTAATTCCCACTGGTCTTGAGTTGCCAGTGTTGAGTTGAGCATGTAGGCTTACCCCATCCCCGGCTGCACCTGTTCCCTTCCTCAGAGTCACTCCAAGGGGGCTGAATAGCTCAGACAGCTCTCTGATCTCCCGCTCTGTCCGCCTTCCTGCTGGGAGGATACTTAGTCCTCGCCTAAAGCTGGAACTGCAGTCCACTGTTTCTCTCTCTCAGCCATGCCAGCTCTCAAAATCATTCCCTTCCCTAATTATCTTGGACCAGTTAATCATTTTCCACACTGACTGTTCAGTAACAAGGACCCAGGGAGAAGCAGCCACTTTTCCTGTCTGACCCTGCCCAGTGTTATCCCAGGTGGCAGCCTTTCCTCAGAGATAAGAAGCTCCATTCAAACCCTTGCTCTTCTGCTCTCCCAGTGAGTCCTGCCAGAGCACACATGCCACGAAAAGACCTACTAGTTCTTGAACAGCCTCCACTAGGCAGCCCTGTGTGGAACACAATAGATATCCCATCAAGACTGTTGTTTCCAGGGTTTTGGTAAATTCTTGCTGACATCCGGAGCATTCAAGAAGCTGCACGAGACCCAAGAAGTAGGATGTCGTTTTCTAAACATGACTTCTGGATCCTCCGGGCTTCGGCTCTATGTCTGAGCCACTGAGTGGCTGTGGCCCGGCCCCTTGGTGTCGGCCTGACACTGGAGGGTTCTCACCAGAGGGGTCCCACTCTGCTGCTCTTAGACGTGAGCGGGGCTTATTCCCACATCCCAGCACCACTAACATGGAAGAAAAACTTTGAGTTTAATGGAAAGAAAGAAAAATTTTGAATTTAATGCACACATTAAACCCTACAACCCAATGTGGCTTGACCTCTTTTTCACTATCACCCACCCTGGAAGTCCCTAAGATATTTCACTTTCCTAATTTGTCATCTCCCGAAACACTCCAGAAATACTGTGTATCTATTTATTTACCATACCTATATCTGGGCTTTCTATGTATAAAAAATAAGATATTTTTGTCTCCCAAGGGGTGATATCACTCTGATATCAGAATGCATGTTGTAACTCCTCTACCAAAGCACCCCACAGGCAGGCGCTTCATCTGCTTTATTCACATCTGTAACCAAGAGCCTGGAACAGAACCTGGCACATCTCAGGTGCCCAGTTGATGAAAAGATGAAATAATTATGCTGTGTCTCTCCCCCACACCACTAAGCATCATGTGCCTCCTGTTCTCTCCCCCTGCCCCCATCTCCAAGCACCATGTGCTCTCTTCTGGTGCCTTCCAGCACTGCCCAGGCTAGTTGGTACCTCACCCCCAGGGATGTATCAGGAAGCTGACAGCCTACTCCTCTGTTCCAAGTGTGGGCCCCCACCCTTTGGTAGCACTGCCTGTGTGTCAAGGGCAAGTGACATTTGTGCCCCACGGAATAATTAAGGGCAGCCCCCAACTGTCTCTGTCTTTGCATCTCCTTAACTCACCCATGGACTGGCAGTTACTGAGACGTTCTATTTGGTCCACCACACCACACCAGGCTGCATCTGGGGATGCACTAGGGAGAAGAGCAGACCAGTCCTCATCAGCAATTACAAACAAGTCCTCCATTGTTAGCTGCGCCATCTGCTTTCTTGGTACGTCCAGCATAACCAGGGCTGAAGGGGCTGCAGGGAGGAGGCCAAGGAGCCCCTTCATGAAGAGGCCCTTTGCTCACACTGGAGAGGGTAGGTAGTATGGTGCCCTGAAAATCCAGGCCTCCCCAACTCAAGGAAGACAGACCCCCAGAGAGACGTTGTACATCTGCCATCTTCTATAAGAGGAAATGGGGCGCCACAGCACAGGGCATTGGGAGAAAACAAGAAATCTAGACCATCGTATTATCCAGGATCCATGAAAAACATTCTAGTCTGTTACCAACAGTCAACACAGTCACAAGCACTTCCTGTGGTGTAGAGCAGTATTGATGTACAGACATGGAGCAGGTAACAGTGGTTGAAAATCAAGGAAGACTGATTATCCGCAGTTACTTATCCTGAATTCCTAATACCAAATAATTCTGCAGAGGGGTGAATTTTCAGTAGATTGTAGAAGTGCACATTTCTTCCGGAGAGCCCAACTAAAGAACATGTCAGAGGGTCAGCAGACAGTCCAGGTTGACAACTGTGCCCATGCAGACAACAGTCCGTGTCACTGATGAATGTCCTTTGTCCGGATGTGATGGTCTAGTGACACTGAGTCCAGGAGTGCGGCAGGGGTTGGCATGAGGAGCTACGCCTAATGCAGAATGAGGTTGGGAATTTGCCAAGGGAAACCCACCTAAGGAGATAGGCTGTCCCTGGAGGGGCGAGGGGTCGAGAAAACCTGTCACAAAGTACGGACAACTCAGAGCCTCTCCCGAGGTCAGCATGACTGCTGAGGTCCTTCTGCTCTGTGAGGGAGGGTGAGCCTGCAGTCCGATTTCACCACGACAGGGTTTGCTTCTGGGCCGCCGTCTACACACAGCGTGCTACATGCTACTTCCCTGGGGACTGTCACATCACAGGTGACACTAGTACTGAATTAACATGCTGTGTACAACTCAGAAATCTACAAAACGAAGAGGCACATAAACTTGCACGCTTAGAGCCTGTCCAGTATTTTTTTCAGGTCATCCATTGAATTCCAAATAGACCAAATCAGCAAATATGGGAGAACAGGAAGAGGGTGTGGTGGTCAGAGCCGCCCGTGCCTATAGAGCTCCCAACAGCATCTACACAGCACATCCTAGGAACACTGCCATCCCTCTCATATCACGTGTATAAATGTGATGGCGGCTAGAATTCTCTCCTGCCAAGTAGAATTTTATTATTATTTGTTTTCCAAGTAGAATTTTAAGTGAACTTTCGGTTCGTAGTGCTCTGCAAAGCCCTGACAACACCCAGGCAGCCCAGGGATAAATGTATTGTTAGCACTGTGTTCATTATCAGGTTCAGCTGTGGGTGTGCTGGGCTTGTAGTCATTTGATTTTATGCTCTTTCCTTTCAGATTAAAATATGAAAAGTCCTCATTGCAATGTTGGAGCAAGGTAAGACTGGTGTTTTGGATTTGCCCAGCCACCCTGCTCTTGGGGAGCTGGATGTAAATTCCCTAACCAGCCTCCGTCCATGGTTAACGCCGTGCTGCAGTGTCCCCTCGAGTTCCTGCTGCCTCCTACCTTCTCTCCCGAGGGACCCTGCCCACACTCCTGCCCCTGCATGTCTGTGCTGCCCGGGGAAACCCAGCATCGCCTTTCTTCTGCCTGTGCACTCCGGGTGGAATCTGACACCAACACCTGCCATCCCGGAAAATGTCTTTGTCGCCCGCCCTTTTGTGTGCAGGGCCATGGGGCGCCAGTGGACCCAGGGCCGCCCCCTTTTTTGTTGCCCAAGCCAGGAGGAGCAGGATCTTGAGATGGGCCGATAAGATGTGGCACGTGCTGGGCCGGCCTTTGACCGCTCGCCTTAATGGGGGCCTCCAAGGCCTCAGTTCAGGGAGGGCAGGTTTTCTGGGGGGCCGCTGAATGGAACAGCTGGGGGAGTGCAGAGGGTAAAGAACCCGGGGATGGGCTACAGTTTAGGACTCAGAGGGCAGGTGTGACCTCCGTGGGCCTCTCCTTTCTGCCCTGGCTCTGGGGTCCAGGCCTGTCCCTATGCCACCTTGTGGCCCAGTGTGGCCCAGGCCGCACTGCCCCGTGGGCTCACAGGTGGAAGGGAGACCAGATGGCGATGATGTTAACAATAATAATACTGCAGGACACTAGTAAGCTGTCATTTATTAACCATGTCACCAAGAGGAACATGTAGTGCAGAGCCAGTCAGTTTCCAGTCTCAGGAAACATGCAGGTGGAATGGTAGTATATAGACTTTTGGGTTCATCCCAAACGTCACCCTCCTCCACCTGAAGGGCAGACAAGCAGCCACTGCCACAGCAAGCCGCCCCTCCAGCCCAGCTGCCCTTTCTTCTCCCTTGGCCACAGCTTTGGCCCCGTCCCAGAATGGTTCCAAACCGGTTCCACTTGCCAGGGTTCCCCAGAGGTACCATGCCCCGCCAGCCCGGGTGCTCATGTTGGGGGAAGTAGGGTGAGGCTATACAGTCCTCTTCAGAGCAGGGGGCCTCCTGTAGGAGTCTTGGTCTGTGGGGACCCCGTATCCATGTGTCCCCTCCTGCTACAGAATGGGAAGTGGGGCTTGAAGTGGGAAGACCGGCTTCCAGCAGGAGGAAAAGGCTGAACGAGTGGAGTGACTGCCGACAGCTTGCCAGTGGAATGATCTTCGTGGCCCGCCGGTCCATGCCCCAGCTGCCACCTCCCCATCCATCACAGAGTGCAGCGGGCACAGCAGGAGCCATCCCAGGCTGGGGATGTGCCGCGGGAAGTGGGGGACTGGAGGAACACAGAGGATGCTGCTGTGCAGGCTCCAGCCAAGGGGGGGGCCTTCCCTGTGCCCCCAGCGGTTGAGGTGGCTGCTTCGAGGTGCATGGGGCCACTTGGCTGCAGAGTTTCGTGCAGCTCCTCAGAGTCCACCACCTGCCTGCCTTCCCACTGTCCTCCCTCCAGCTGCCTGCCATCCTGCCCTGCTGCTGGAATGCAGTGTGCACCCCTCCTCTCCCTCCTTGCCTTCCCTCGCTGGGGGGGTTCAGTATTTCCTTTCTAATCTAGAATTACTCTTTCACTTATGTTCTGTCTTTGAACATCACTTTATCTCTTTGATTTGCCTGCTTTTTATTTTTTTCCTTCCTCTCTCCCAATCGATCTGATCACAATACTGAGTGGAGTGGTTCCTAGTGAGTAATGTGAAGTCTTAGACAATTTGAAGTGTAGGTATTTCAAAACAGAGCATTATCCAGGATTGAATCAGGCTTGTTCACCCCCACGTCCAGCTCTGAGGGGGCAGAGGGTGGGTGACCTTTTACCAATGCCGTCTCTGCCATGGAGAATGGTCTAGCTGTGCTGCCTTCGTCAAAAGCAGCCAGTTTTTAAAGATGAGACTAGCAGGAGAGAGCCTGGGACATTTCCTGTCTGGCCAGCCTATGGGGACCAGCAGGGCAAAGACGGTAGGGCTCCAGCAGCAGGTACCTGAGGGTGCTGAGACTGGGGACACGCTGGAGCAGGCTGTCTTCTCAGGTCCAAGCATGTTTGTGAGTATTGATTGCAGAGGTTCTTCCTAGAAACAATAAGGTAAGGTCAGAAAATGAGAAAAGATGTTGTCTGTGAGTAAGATGACTTACATAAATTAATTTCAAATGCCAATAATAATAAAAATTTCAAAAGCCTTGGAAGTGAAGTATGCTGGAAGGAAGATAGAAACCCTGTTTCTGAGGTTTGTTCAGAACCTGGAAGCTTGGGGTATAACACAGCCAGCTGAAAAATAGCTTATGGGGGAAGAGGGGTGATGAAACAAGCCTCTCCCTCGCAGCCTGGTCCCAGGGGAGAGTAGACTGTAGTAGCAACAGGGGCTGGGTATTGCAACAGGCATTCCTGGGTTCCTCTGAGCACCTCGCAGCAGCCCTGGGGAGGGGAGAAGTGCAGACGTGCACACTTTGGCTTTACTCCCTTTCCGTCCAGTGCTAAATAGCGCTCTGCTCATCTGCACTCATTCAGGCAAGCAATTTAGTTCTGACCCCTTTCTCAGATCCTTGGGGTGAATAATCGAGTTGTAACTCATCAGGTGAAATATCAGTATGTAAATACGTGTAAATAATAACACTGACAGGGATCCCCAAAGCTGTCCATCAAGTTTTATTTGCTTCTTCCTTGACTCTGAGCCATGCTGTTGCTTCATTCCCTTTACTTGCTCCTCTCCCCTTTACTGCAGTCAGATGCCTTTTCTCTTTATTCTTTTACTTGCGGATTGGATGGTAAGGCCAAGTGAATTTTGAAGATTCATAGTTTTATGCTGCAGTAAGGTCCAGAGCAAAAAAAAAAAAAAAAAGGAAGGTCCAGAGCAAAGACCTGGAGGAAAGGCATTCACATGTTGATTCATTCAGCAAACCTCTCTGCACTGTGACAAAGGGAGGTCACCAAAGCCTTTCTGGGAATGTGGTTCCCATCTCCTGCATGCCACAAATCCTTCTTGGATCTGTCCAAGAAGACCGATGTGTCCCCTGGTGCCGTGACTCGGCCTTTCTCTGCTTCCTCTGCAGGGCCTTGGCTGCCAGCCTGAGTGGCTACCTCACAGCGCCTCTTGGAAGGAGGAGATGAATGAGACTCCCCTCTGTTCCCACCCTCAACCCCCAAACACAGAGATTCCGGGAACATCCCTGCTCTGCTAGTGCCCTCAACATAGCTTCCTGCTAAACGGATTTCTGAAGTTAAAGGTGAACTCCACCAGAATGTCTTGGATTGGACTTTCTCTCCAGGCCATGTCATCTGACCCTAGAATCTCACACAACTTGGGCTTCCAAAGAGGAAGAGGGGAAAGTCACCAACAACCAGTGACAAACCCCCTCTCATGGGTGTTGATGTGGCTGCTCCAGGCAGGGATGGCAGAAGAAGATTGTGGGCTTTTGGGAGGGGATGGAGGGCAGCTGGTTTCTGTACCCCGCGTTGTTTATAAACCTAAGCAAGATTCACAGAAGAACCGACAAAAACAGTTGTTAAACTGAGGAATTTTCTCTGCATTGATTTCTTTAGTTCTTATGTTAGGATTTATGGTTTACTCAAAAATTTCATCATCATGGAAATTGGCTTTCCCTAGAGTTGTTTGCCCAGGAGAAGTTTTATCTGAGTTGCTGAGTGTTTTCCACCTGGTGCCTGATGCCCACTAACTGGGGAGAGGTTTTCCTGGCCATCCTGGAAGCCCTAGATGCCCCTGGAAACAGGGTCCTATCCCCGTGAAAGTCAGGAAGCTTCCAGGGCCCAGCTCAGCAGAGCGCCACGTCAACACGGGAGGTGCACACCAGCACAGGCCCTAGGCTGGGTCAGGCACCCCCGTGGTGTCCATCTGCCTCCAGAACCTTCTCCCTGCTCAGGGAGGGCCACGGCACAAATGGGGGCTTTCTAATTATTTGGCTCCAAAGAAGATATGTTGAGCCTGTTTAAAAAAAAAAAAAAAAAGATATGAAAAGCCCTACCTTCCATCTGTGCTTGCCCAGCATCCTTGCTGTGGGTCTGAGGGTGTCAGCAACAGAAAAATCATTTAGGAAGACCTGTTTGGCCCTCTGTGTCTCACCTCAGCCTGCAGCCTGTCTCTGGAGTAAGCCCGTGTTTCAGAGAATGGGGCAACCGCTAAGGACCCCAGAAACATCAGTCCATGCAAGGGTGCTTGCCCTCTACTGTCTGCCTCTCTGCTCTGTGCCCACTTGTGTGTTACCCCCAGGGGCTTTGGTCACCTCTGGTGAGTCTCCTGAGCCCCCTCAGCACATCAGAGTGGCTGTTTTCACTGACCAGCCAGTTCTTTCCATCATCCATTGGGTTGGTTTGGCTGGTACCTAACCCTTGCAGGAGAAATGAACAGATCGAAGAAGGAGCCAGGCCTGCTTCTGGAAACAAGTGAAGAAGGACTGAGAAATTCCTATTGCAAGGATACACCTAAGTTAGAATTTGTTTCTCAGCTTTATAGAGGACTGCAGGTAGGGCCAGAGGCCCAGGCTCACAGGCAGAGCAGCTTGGGAGCCACCCAAACCTCAGAGAAACAGAAGTAAGCCTCAGTCGCTTTGGGCTGTTCTGTAAAGGGGCCCAGTTGGTTTGCTCACTGGGGGCTTAATGGCACTAATGGGTGACTGAAAGTCACAGCATGTTCTATTGTGTCAGCAAATGCTGCAATTCTCATCTTCCCCACCCCTGCCCCACCTGCCCATCCCCACCTTTTTAATAATTTGGACTTTCTGGTCAGCACGGTTTGCCTCCTATCACTCATACTCCAGGCTGGTGTTCAGCTGCTTCACGGCATATTTACAAAGTGCCCAGACCTCATTCCTGCGGGGAGGGCATCACAGGTGCCTGGGCCCCAGAGTCCCAGGTAGGCTCTGCCAGAAAATAGCTTCAGAACATTTCATTTCCAGGCTCTAGAAATCCCTGATGCAGAATTCTTGGATTTAGATGAAGTGTCAAGACTTGGAAGTTGTACTGAACTCCCCTGGACTTAATTGTTGTGCTCCAGGATTCCATTTTATCTCCCAGACCCAGTCATTCTAACCTGCAAGTGGGAAGTTCAGTTGTAGACAGCAAATATCTAGACCCTCCTGTAACCCTATGGATTTTAACATCTCTAGGACCCCAGACTCCAGCCAGTGGTTTGGGTGCTGAGCTGCTTCAAGTCCACTGTCAGCAGTAGCATTGGTTTGGAATAGGGGAGCAGGGAATCTAGCAACCAGGTTTGCTTACAATCACATGGACCTGAGTCGTTCTTGTTATTTGGGGTGGAAAATTGAAATGATCAAGTTCTTTTTTTTTCCACTTAGAAAAGCAAATATTGTGCTTTTGCAATAAATGCCTTTCCAGCAAAATTATGGAGGGTCACTTATCCAGTGGGGACCCACCTGAGTCACAGTGCTGACTTGTCATATTAGTAGGTCAGCCATCTGGACTCGAAAGTGGCCCTGATCAGCCCCCAAAATGGGTAGGACTTGCCAGCTCCCGGGCAGGGCCAGGCCAGCATCCCCACTTCTCTACACACCCATTTCCATCCAAAGCAAAGTTGATGTTCCATAATGTCACTGAGAAGGTTTTTGTACTTTTAAAAAAACAAAATGATGACTTTTTTAAAATAGTAGAATCTGAAGTAGACAGTAGTGAGGAAATTTAGCTTGGATCAGTGACTGTCACAGTGTCTTCAAGCGGTCAAGGCTGCAGCCACTAAGAGCCACAGGGAGGAAGGAGATTTAAGCCTTGCCTTCACAAGAGGGGCTGACCAAACCCTCATCCTTACAAACAAGAGACCATGCAGATCCACAGACTGTGCAAATCACGTCTTCCTGACCTTCCTCCGGTGTGGCCACCTGCACTTCGCTTCCTGTTGTGTTTGTATCATCTGGAGGCTTAAGGGATCCTTTAAAACTTCCTGTGACGTCTTATATGTAACCGTGTCATGACTATATCTACTGAGGGGAAATGTCCACACACAGAGGGAAGTGCAACATGAAACAACCACTGTTCTAGCTGCACTCCGTATCTGTGTATGACATGCACAGTAAGTGAATGTTTTCTTATGGCTTCAGGTCTACAACATTTAGTACATGTAAATAAGGAAAAAGAATTGATACCTATGGTATATTAAGTTATAGTATGTCATTTATTTTTTTTTTTTGCTCTTATTTAATTTGCCTAATGCCCCACATCTGGGTTTAGGCCTCGGTGGGGTAAACCCCTCCATACAACCTACTTCTGCAGGTGTGTGTGCCACATCCAGAAAAGCACACAGCTACACTGCTGACTGCCGCTCGACTCTCCAGTTTACCCTCTTTTTCTCTTTCATTCTGATTTACTGTGATGACTTAATAAAGTAGAAACACAGCACTTATGTTTCCTTTGTTTTCATGATAGTTTCTGGGAAAATAAAGTTTACCCTGGCATCTAACAAAAGATAGCTTGCTTTTTTATCAGAATTGCTCAAAAGCATTTTTTTTAACCAAAGCCTAATTATGTATGCAAAATGGTAGCCAGTATGAATCCCGGGAAGTTTACAAATGTGTTTATGTGAAACTCACCCCTCAGTGAAGCAGGAGTCCCTGGCCCTGATGAGCAAGAGGCTGACTTGGAGGGTTTGTCTTCATGTATAAGTGGTACATAAAATGTAACACCTCCTTTGGCATGGCTGAGGCTCCAACCATCCCCTTCCGACAGCCTGGCCAGGTGGTCTCAGAACCAGTGTCCTGAGCTACTCCCATGCTCTGCACCAGGGAACTTTGAATATATTGGACAGTTGAGCTGCCTACAGATCACCCATTGCTCCGGTTAGCAAATAGTTGTTGAGTACTTATTACTTAGAAGACCTATCAGTGACCTCAGAAAGGGTCTAGGAGCCAAGAAGAACCTGAATTGATGTGGCTTTTTTAAGCTTTGGGCTGGAAGCAAGTGCTTTTACCATTTGGTTCCTCATAGAATGCAGCTTGATGCATTTTTAAAGCTTTATTTCCTAGAAGCAGTGGTTCCCAGCCTTGTCATGTGTCACAATCATTCAGGAAGCTTTGTAGGTGCTTCCATCCCCCACCTAGATTCTGATCCACCACATGTGGATAGAACCTCAGCATCTAATTTTTAAAGTCTCCCTTGGCCCCTTGAGGATCCCAACCTGCAGATAGATTTGGATTGAGACACTTGAACCAAACCCACTGTGATGCTTTGGGCAGCCCTTACTCCCCATCCCACACATGTGCCCTGGAGTGCAGGGAACTAGAGCCAAGATGCCCTTAGGAACTGCTTCGTGTAGTGTCCTGCCCTTTCTAATGATTCCGCTTTGGAGATGGCCCCAGGATAATTTATGGATTCTTTTCAGATCTGGAAATAGTTATTTAAATTTCACAGGGTATTGTTAAGTCTCATAAAGTAGTTTATTATTTATGACAAAAATATAGGGAGGGGTTGGGGAGGGTGTTCCAGTCATCATGCTTCCAGTCATTTTCAAAAAATTCTCATCAAAAAAAAAAAAAAAATTATCATCAAATCTTAAGCCAAATCATGCAAGACCTTCAGAATTCCAAAAAGAATCAAACTTTCTATGGTTCTAAAAGGAACGTTGCTACAAGTAATGCTCTCCAACCTGTCTTGCCTTTAGCCAGGTGCCAGAGTGTAAAGAAAAAATATCCTTAAGGTACACCCTGGCCGTAGGAAAATGCTCTGTTACTGGAAAAATGCCAGAGTTTTTTACGTTTGCTGCAGTACAGAGCACCTCTCAGCAGTAAGACTCAGACATTAATATTTGTTCACATTTGAGCTAGTGTTACTGTCCTGTGTGTGTGTGTGTGTGTGTGTGTGTGTGTATAAATTGAGGCCCCTTTGACTTATTAACCAGTTTGTGTCAAGGGGAACTATTATGCTTTGTTCTTCATTCTATAAATAGAAATGGTTTTAATTGCATTTCATTTTTTAAATCAAAAAGATAAGGTTGTGGAGATAGAACACACCATCAACTTTATCCCTGTGCAGCTGGTCTGCCCAGGACTATCAGCCCAAAGATGATGCCCTGGGGTTCTCACAGCTGAGAGTGGAGCTCCAGACAGGAGCTAGGTTTCCTGGATCACACCTCTGATCAGCAGCAATCACAGTTCTTCATTAGTGTGTCGACTGTTAGTAGCTTCCATGATTCTTCTGGCCCTGTGAAAGTTTCACTGAGGCCAAGTCAGAGGCCCCCTTGACCTTTCTCTCACTTGGATCAGGCACAACAGAGACGAGGGGTTCCCAGCACTGGGGAGTTGTTTTACTGGGATACTCTTCCAAAGAGCAAAGAAGATGATGCTCTTACTGACCTTTCTCTATTACTCTGGAAACCTCTGGATAATACATCTCTGGAAAGAAAAATGGCTCATATCTGCAGATCTGAAAAACGGACTATGGCAAAGAACCAGGAGAAAGAACAGATCATACATGGTGGTACGTGCCACACTCCAGAGGTTCCCCCTGCACTCTGTACACACAGATCCACAGAGCGATTGCCGTAGTTGGGCCACAATATTCTGTTCGTGTTTCCTGCGACAAGTTTTATGTTTCAGGAGTTTAAGTAGAGACACAACAGTGTCCTGTGCCCCAAAGACTGCCCCTGAGTGGAACAAAAAGAGACTTGCTCCTGAAACTGAGGTCAGAGTCTCTGTCCACTGCCTACAGTAGCTTAAACCACCTCTTCACCCCCAAACAACGTAACAAACCCAGCTGACAACCCCACAAACCAGGGGCATTTTAAACAAGAGTAACATTCTCTCCCAAATATGCTTTCAAATGTGCCCCTAAAAGTAGACGACAGCAACCAAAACAGCAAGAACTCTGAAATGATTTTTGGGGTACTTTCTTTATTTGGGATACTCTTTCTGGGTAATAGAAAAGAATTTTCTAGAATTGGAGATTGCTTCTTTTTTATTGTTGTCATTTGAAATTAAAGGTACGATGAATACTCAAGTCTTTACTATCCTAAATTTAATTGGATAAGATGAAGGAGGTGAGATTTTATAACAAGCTCTCATGTTAAGAAATACGTGTCTGAAAAAAAAAAAAAAAAGAAATATGTGTCTGGAAGATTCTGCCCCTTACAGAACAAAGAGAAATCAGGGAGGCCCAGTCAGCATCCTCCCTTTTGTCCCATGTCTGGCAAGAAAAACACTAACTAGACTTTTTTTTTTTTTTTACATTCACACCAAGATATTCCTGCCTCAGATATTAGAGGACATTGTGTCTGTAATCAAAAATTCTATTTAAAACATTATTTTGGGAAAGAAAGAATAAATGAGTAAATTCTCTCTGGGACAAGGGTTCCCTTCCCCCATGTGTCCACGTGTAATTTTTAATCTCCCACTTGTATGTACCACCTGTCCCTCCAGCAAAATGTTTGTTGAGTTTGACAGAGAATATTTTACATAAAGAGGTCACATTTGTCAGCCTCCACCTTGACGTGGGGTCCTGGGGGTCTGAAAATTGGAGTGTGCCTCTCACCGAGGGTGTGAAGTGGGAAGGGGCTTGCTATTATAGCTCCTGAAAGGATCTTTTTGACTTCAGAAAATAGCCTGGTGAAGAAAAGCTTTTTTTTCCCCATGAATACTCAGGGACTGCATTATGCTCCTGAGACGGTGGAGGTGAGTACTTTTGATCAATATTCCCTGAGAAATGGCCGCTGGGCTAAGTGCAGGCAGAGGGCCTCAATAACAGATCTCCCTCCCGCCAAGTCTGCAGAGCATTTGCTGCAAATCTGCCGTGAACGGTCTGAACCAGCCAGGACGGCACATTAATGGCATCATCTTCTCCTCCCTTTAAAACATGTCACCCCATTTTGTCTTCCATGTTGATGGCTGATTATGAGCACTAGAAACAGCTATTTCTATGGCCTACCTTCAGGGAAATCTTGGCACCTTCATTTTAAGGCACCAGGAAAAGTGGCCCCCTGGAACTGTTTCATCCTGAAGAAGAGGGCAGAATGCCAGTGAGAAAACACAGGTCAGGAAGATTTATTCACTAATCACCACTGAGATGTTTTTTTTTTAAATGTTTTTTTTTTAATTTTTATTTATTTATGATAGTCACACAGAGAGAGAGAGAGAGGCAGAGACACAGGCAGAGGGAGAAGCAGGCTCCATGCACCGGGAGCCCGACGTGGGATTCGATCCCGGGTCTCCAGGATCTTGCCCTGGGCCAAAGGCAGGCGCCAAACCGCTGTGCCACCCAGGGATTCCCAACCACTGAGATGTTAATAGAACAGCCAAAGTATAGATTTGTACTTTACACCATGTATTCTGTATTTTTCCTTCTAAAACTGATAATCTATCCTCATTCTAACCCCCTCCATCCAATGGATAAGCAGATTTTGTCCAGGTGAATGTAAACACAAAGATACAGGGCTTTCTTTTTTACAGAAGTAGCATCATACACTACACATCATTATAACTTCTTTTTTAAACTTTGCAATGTGTCATGGGCACCTGTTCTCCTAATTTATCCTTTTTAATAGCTGCATATTGTTCCTCAGAATAGATGGACCTTTGCTAACCCATCTGTGGGCATTCAGGTGGTTTCCAATGTTTGTTGAGAACAAATGTCCCTGTAGCAAACACCATCATACCTATAGCCTGACATACCACTGCTTTTAATTCTAAAAGATACATTCCCAAAACTGAAATTACTGAGTCAGAAGTTTGTGTCATTTTAGCCTTGAGAGGCTCTATGATCATTTTAGAATTCTGTAAAGCCAATTTTGGAGTTGCATTTAAAAAAACGAAGCTAGGATTCACATCTTACCATGTTTGGGAATTCATTAAATTACCCATCAGCTTAAGAAAAGAAAAATATTTGTTAAGAGGGGCACCCAGATGGAAGGTAGAATTTCAGCCACACTAAGATGAGGCATTTGCTGGTGGGAGACAGTGAGGCTGCCTCCTCAGCTGGCCCAACCCACATGTTCCACGTGTTCCCATGATAGCATTCAGAAGAATTCCCTGATTTTGAAGACATTTCTTTAAAAAAAAAAAAAACAAAACAAAACATAAATGCATCAAAATACACTCTAAGTTCACCTTTCATTGTAGATGGAGAGGAACAAAGGCTCAGGAGGCAGGAGGGGTGGCTTTCTTGCAGTGTGTCCTAGAGCCCTGAGTGCTAACCATCCTGCCTCTGGCCTGTGGATTAGGGTCAGAATACTGACTGTGGTGGCCAGCCTCAAAGGTGGCCCTTCTGACCAAGACCCCCTGGCATCCACAGCCTTGTGCAGTCCCAGCCACTCTGACTCAGGGATGATCTATGGGGGCAGGAAGGTATAGCTGAACTGATGGCGTGTGTCTCCTGATAGTAGGCCACAAAGGTAATGCAGCTCCCGCCCCGGC